AGAGTGAACCAACAGAAAGTGGCAAACCCACGACCTGAGAGCAGATTTTGTCCTAAGCCCCAGGCTTGTTCTCACCTCACTGGGTTGGAGCAACATGGATTTCAACTTGACCCTGAGTGAGCATGAAGAGGCCCCATTCTCTCCTCAACTCATAGCACCAAGACCACCAAGATCTGGATTACAGCTTCCTATCCCCTTTCCTTCCCTACCTTGAAAGGGACATTGGGTCCCAGAATGAGCATTGGCTGTGAAGCTGCAGATGGTCGAGGAAATGTCCCACGTGGCTAAGCCATTACCACAGTCGAACCCTTGATCCAGATGTAGTCCCAGAGAAATTGGCAACCCGGTACTTGGTTCCAGCTGTGTCTGTGAAGCCTGCAACTCTGACAGGTAGTAGCTCAAGTCTCCATGGCAAGTCCCTTGGGGGCAGGTCTCCTGGTTGGGAGCTAAAAGGAGAAAGGGCTTCAGTAGGAAGAGTCTCTGTTTTCCCTTGTTAAGTGCTCCTAGACCCCCGTCCCTGCTGTTCCTGCTTCTCTCTATACTCTTTCACTGACCTAGGCCACACAGACAGACATCAGGTAAAAGCAGGTGATGTCACCTTTCCTGTCTGTGCCTGTGGATGCTGACGCAGGCTGCGGTTCCAGGGCTAGGTGTCCCTAAAATGACATAGTTGTGCAAAACTGCCCTGCATGTGTGGGTTTCCAGAGAAGAGATAATGGCACTGTTGAAGGCATGTGGTTAGGAACATAATTTCAGAAAGGAGAGATTCCAGATCTTAAAGAAGTAGATTTGTTGTGCCACTATATCTAGATGAGCTCCTGTGGGCAAGAAATTGCTAAAAGCCTGAACCCCTTTCCAGCTTTCATGCCCACAGCCTGCTCTTGTAGGAAGGAGCCAGGTGACAGAGGTGTTATTTGGGACAAGAGTAGAGGAAGTTTCACCCTCTGGATGTACATGATCATAGCTGGATCCCAGAGTCAGATTGAAAACAGGCTCAGTGAAAATGGCCTGGCTGCATTGACAGTCTGTCTCAGCAGCACAAGATGCAGAAAGAAAACATGTGGAGGCTACCTGGGAAGACACTGGAACTTTGTGACCTTCAGGCTGGAGTACTCACAGGCTACATCCAGAGCAGAGCATGTGAGCTCATCATCCAATGAGGACAAGGTGCCGCTATAAGGCTGGTGGAAGTCAGACAGGTCACGATGAACTGAAGGAGTCAAGTAAATTTCATCCAAGGAGTCCTCTGGGACTTCCTGCTCCTGTACCTCTGGCAGCTCCTGGCTCAGCCTGGAGTAAGAACACAGAGCATAAACACTGGACATTACCAATACGAATGCAGCTAGCTGGTTCCATAGGGAGGACCACAGGAGAGGCCAGAGGAAGATAAGTACAGTGCCCTCAGAGAGACATAACCATCCTTCCCTGTCTCATGCAGGATGCAGAGCGTCATGTGCTCAGTGCACTGTGCAGACAATGAGCTTTAGAGTAAGGAGATGGAGCGATCCCTGTGGGAAACTGCCAGGTCACAGTGCACTCAGCCCTTCTGCACACATTTTGTTGAAACTAGCATCAGAGGCCAATTGAATACAGGTTCTTGAATCTTCACAGAAAGAGTTCCTTTATCCTCAACATCACTTGTTCTCGAAACTATGAGCACGACATGAGCTGTTTTCATTCCCTTTCCTACGATCAAATACTTGCAAACATGGTAATGCCAAAGAGGCAGACATAAGGTGAGATCAGGAAATCCCTGAGCTTGTACAGTTCACCTGGCTCAACTGATTGTGGGTTTCTATGCTTGAGAGTGAATAGGAAATGAAACCTGTTTAAGTACCACACTAAAGAAGACAACTTTGTTAAAGGGGTGATTTTCAGTTGGATGGCTAGATGAGATTGTTCTATTCATCACTTCCCATCTGATTTTCTCCTGGATCCATGGTCTCCAGGTGTCAATATTGAGCTAACAGCCCACAAATCCACAGTTACCTGGGGGGCACTGGAGCTTTCCCTTCCTCTTCCTCATGATCCTTTTGATTCCCTGTAAAGAATGTCGGAAGAGCAGGTCACAGTAAGCAAATCACCCTTCACACAAGACCAAATCAATGTCCAGTCATAGCACAGCAACATCAATATCCTCAGTGTAAGAATGTGATATTCTGACAGGAAGATTCTAATGTGCTCAAGGTCAGGTCTTTTCAGAAGTAGATGAGCCTGCTTTCCAGATCCATGGGACAGAATCCCCCTCATCTAATAGATCTTAATCACATATCCTCTGACCTCACTCTGTGCAAACAGTTAAACAAAACGTTTCCCCCATGGTCTTCAAAAATGGCCCTCACTATTCTTCAGAAGTGTTGCTGCAATACTGATTTATCTCACTATATATTCTGGTTGATGAATTCTTAGAGAAATTTATTTTTCTCCTGGTATAAGGGTGACTGCCTAGCTAAGACAACTGACTCAAAGGAGACCAAGACTGACACTGAAAAGAATGACACCAGGGAAACAACATCATTAGATATATGGACGAGGCTGTCTTCCACAGTGACCTTGGACAAGCACAGAAACTCCATGGACATTGTGCAGGGGCACAAATTACATCATTAGACATGACAAGAGACATAGGAACTGAGCTAGGCGGCCTGACAGATACCTCCTGTACACCTTTTGTACACAGGTGGCTATGAACTTGTCCCACATGTCTATGGTCCACTTACCTGATATTGAGGTCAGGGAGAATTGGAAAGCTATCTGACCCTCTTGTATTTATATTAAATATTCCATCGTAGTCCTCCCTCCCTCCCTCTCTAATCCCCTCCCTCCTTTTTTCCTTCTCTTCCTTCCTTCCCTCCCCCTCCTCCCATCTTTACTTCCTTCATTCCTTCTCTTACTTTTGAC